AATTTTAGTTATGTTTTTTAAAATAAATTATCTGATGACCAAAACAAAACAGAAGTGATAGCTGGATACTAAATCTACAGTTTACCCCCAAAAAAGTGCATAAATCTCCTTAAATTTCTTTTGCCTTTCTAAATTAGTCCATTTAAAAAATTAAATCAAATTAACCTTGTCTTCCTTTCTTGCTCTGAATATTATTCCAAGAACTCTTGTCCCACAGGTGAGCCTCAAACCTCCCAGTCCATCTGTGCCTGTGTTTAATTTTTCCAATATCAAATCAATATTTCACCATTAATTTTCACATAAATTCAAAAATAATTAAAAAAGAAGAAGAAGACCTGGTGACTCCTCTGTAAATGGAGCTTCTTCTGCCATTGTTGTTATTAGCATTGCTGTTCTGATCGGAGCTTTTTCTAACCCTTTTAGCTTTGGGTTTCTCCGGCAAACTACGAGGAGTCTCCGATGAAGAAGAAGAAGAAGAAGATGGCGATGAAGATAGTAAGCAAGAATTAGACGAAGAAAAGCTTGGGGATCTCTTCATTTTAGCAATGAAGCTTTTTGGTAACATAAACACACTTCTATGTATATATATATTGTATAATGGTGATGATGGGTTTTGGGCGGTGGCTAAGAGTGGTTTACCAAAACAAGGAGAAGGTGGAGGAAGAAGGAAAAATGAAAGAGGTTTAGAAGAAGATGAAGAAAACGCATTGATGGTGGGGTTAAAAGGGGAGGTGTGGGGTTGAGTTAAAATTTAACTGTTTGAGTTAAATTGAGAAAATGGATGGATGTCCTTTTTTCTTATGTATGGGGTAAGGGAGTAAGATAGTAGGCTACCCCCAACACCAGGTTGAGAGCAGCTTCCGTAAGAGACTTCCGAATTATGAAATAACCTCCGTGAGACTCGATCCCACGATCTCAAAGTTAAGAACCTCCGTGAAAAAACAAAATGGAAAAATGGACCTAAGCCCCTAACACTTGGCTTGGTGTGCAGCCATGCTGCCAATGGGAGTTGTTTACTTAGGCTGGCAACTTTTATGGTGTTTTCAAAGATTATTTTTTTTTCCAGAGCTTGTAGTTAAGAATTTTAAGGTTTAATTGTAATATTTTTTTAATTTAAATTTAGGTTGAATTGGTTGTTGATATGGATTTAAATTTGATGGGTTTTGATTTGATTTTTATTTTATCGGTCTCTATTTAATAACTTTTTTTGTTTAGGATAAGGTCGGGTCGAATTCGGGTTTAAGATAAAAAATATTCTACTAAAAATAATAAATTAATTTATCTTTATATATATAAGGATAATTATTATATCACCTTTCATTTTTTTATATTTTTTTGATTATGATCCTATTTTATCTAATAAAAATAACAATATATTTGTATATATGTCGGGTTAGATCAGATCGGATCGATACGGTGCGGTGCAGAGTTTTACTTTAAAGTTGAGTCAAATTTTGGTTCGGATCTATTTCTCTAAACATGAATTGAGTCAAGTCGAGAGACAGATGTAAAAATATTACTTTTAAATTAAATTCAAATTGACTAAAAATCTGATTTGATCCTACTCATTCCTAAGTGTGAGTTAGAATAATTTGTATTTAGAAAATCTCATATCATTTCAGGTTGGTAAACTTGAGTTCGAGTTCTTTAATTTAAAGATTTGAGCTTTTCAAGTGGAGTCACTGAAGATTCGAATCATTCAAGGTTTAAATCATTTTAAAATTACTTTTTTATTTGTTTAAGGTGAATATAAGATAACATCTGTTCGAAAGACTTAATTATTTGAATACTCATACACTCCTGTAGATGTGTTGCTCGAACCCAAAACCTCAAAGAATAACAACAATTCCTTAATTACTAAGATCATATGATTCATGCATCATTTTAAAATTCCTTATTGTTATTTCGGGTGAATATCTAATGCCATGAAAATTTTAAATTTTAAAATTATTTAAATATTAGTTTGAACATTTTGTCTATATACCTTGTGTGTGAAGGATTTGTTCACTAACAAATTTTCATGTAATATTTAATGTATAAATCTATAACATATTTATTTAATTAGTATAAAAAAATATAAATCCTTTTTAGATATTTAAGATAATTGGTGATTAAATGTTTTCCGACTATTTCAAATTGATTTTTTTTAAAGATATATATTTAATAAAGCCCAGTACTTTATCTTACAAAAATAAATAAAATTAAAGACTTAAATCATTTGAGTGCAAGGACTTTGAGGAGAAACAAACCTGAAACCTGCAGGAAAACTGCGTGTTTTGCAGATTCCAAGTGGCTTAAAACTTTGAAAGAACTGAACTTTCTACCCACAACTCATTTACCTTTATGTTTTTCTTAATATTTTAATTGTGTTATTCTTTTATTATAATTATTTTTATTTTAAAAAATTATAACTTAATATCCATGGAGTAGACTTAGCAGTTAAGGTAGCGTTATTTTTCTTTAAAGCCTTGGATTCGAACAGTTATCTCTGTATGATGTAAACGTTTTGAATGCTTAAATAAGATTATGAATAAATATTATCTTATAATCATCTCATTCTCAAATTATAACTTATAGTTATGTCAATAAACTTATGCATAATGAGATTTGAGTATAAAATCTAAAAAAATATACAGAATAAAACGTCAATGGTTTTATTATAATTATATTTGATACAAAATAATAAAATTTGATTGAATTTATAAAAGTTAGAAAAATCGCTTGAAGCTTTACAAAAAAAATGTATTCGATTATCTTTTTAAAAAAAATAAATTTAACTATTTTATAAACAGAAACATTAGTAATCAATTTGATTATTAAAGAAAGGTGATCAAAATGAATTTTCTTTTAATTTATAAAGTCTCGATTGAGAAAAAATCAATAAAACTCAAACTAAAAAATAAATCAATTTATCCCTTCAATTACCTTATGTTAACAGTCAACTAGTTTAGTGTTAGCAAAAGAATTAAGTTAAAGAATATGTTTGTTTCATGTAAAATATTTTTTGGAAAACGTTTTCCTCATTTTTCAGTGTTTGGTTGGAGGAAACCAGGTTGGACAATGTAAAACATTTTATTGCTCCACATAATTTCCTTTGCATTTTCTAAAAAATGACTTACGGTTTGATTTTTCGTAAGTTATTTTCTAAATTTTTCACTTCAAAACATAAATATTCAAAATAATATTATTTTATGTATTAATATTAATATTTAATATCATTTTTATAAAAATATTAATTATTAACGTATTTAAAATATATTTATTAATATTTTTAACAATATAATATATAATAATAATAATAATAATAATAATATATAGTTAGTTATATTATAATAATATATTATATTATTATATTATTGTTTTAATAATATATAATAAATTATTAATAAAGTTATATTATTTATTAATTTCTTAAAAAATATTATTAAATTATTAATAATAAATAATATTATTTATTATATTTCATATTTGCAATATATAATTTCTACAAAATTTATCAACTAGTGAAAATGATTTACACATCTTCGAAACACCGTAAAATGTTTTCTAGAAAATATTTTTTAAAAGATGTAACTCATTTTACGGAAAACATTTTTAGTAAAACAAACGGACCCTAAGTGCACTATTCAAATGATTTTTTTAATATTTTATAAGAATTTATTTTACCAACAAAAAGTTAACGAAAACAAAGTATAGTGGAAATTTCAATATCTATATGAAGAGGTGGAGTAATCTAGGAGAGTGAGTTAACCCCACAAAAATAATGTTCAGAAACATAATTTTACATATTTTTTATATATATAATTAATGATTTCACCTAACACAATTTTTTTTAAAACTAATATAGACAAAGTAATGAATTGAACCGCAAATCATTTAAACAATTTATTTTAAATAAATTAATCACTTTTAATCGACTAGAATCTCCAGAAATCCTTGTCTTTAGTATTTTTCTTTCAACATTCATCACTTTTTTTTTTCTTTAAATCTCTCTTATTTTTAGACGCTCTAGAAATTTTTATAAGAAATGTTATTAATGTTTCAAGCGTGTCTCCAATTTTGGTAGCAGCTCTTCTTTTATCTTCGAGTTCTTTGTAATACTGACATGAATAGGATTACCAAGTTCTTTGATCTTTGTTTATCAAATGCCTTTGTTTTGTTTTATTCACGATTTCTATTTTATATATTTTTTGACCGAATTCACAAAGTATGAAATTGCAATATCCATTTGAAGAATTAGAAATTTCATTAATATGATAATAATCTATTCAGTATTAGTATCGTTATAGATATTTTTAACTTTTGAAATATACTTTAAGAACTAGATTGACAATGTAACCAATTAAATAATTGTGTTTTGATAATATAACCAACATTCTTTTTTTAAAAATGTTTATGTTAATAAAAAAATTAATTAATGCTTTTTAGTGCTATATGCGAATTTTTTTAATAGTCTATCCTTGTTTTACATTATGTTACAAATAAATTATATACATACATAAAACATTTAACTCAAGTGATTGGGTGATATATTCATTAAATATAAGATTCTATTTTTTTGCCAATTTAATGTTAAATAAGTATTAGTAACCATTTAACAAAAACATTCTAAAGGAATCATACACCAAGTTTCCATCCCATATAATCAAACTTCATAACAGAATGCATTCGTGGTTTTCTACCGGTTCAACCATACTAACCGATCCGGTTCAGTTTCTTTAACATTAAGATCAAGAATGGACCGAGAGGGTGTTGGGAGAAACATCGTACCTCTAAAAAATTTAAATAATACATAATTTAGGAATTTACTTCGTATGATGATCTAACTACGTACACCCCAAAATTTTGTATTTTCACATTCCCTAAATTACTAATATACTTCCTAAACCCTTAATATAAAATCTTAAGTCCATCCTAATTAAGATCCAATTATAAAACTTACCATCACGGTGAGGCCTATATAACAGATAAGCTTTCGCAAAAAAAAAAAAAACTGTTAAACTGAAATAGAGAGTGGCACATAACCTTCTTATGACAAAGATAAAGGAAACACAAGAATCCCGAAGTTACTTGACATAAACGATGTCACAAACACGCATGTCCTAAAATTTAGCCAAATATGAGAGAGAGAACTAATACCTTCAATTGTAGTCGTTACGGGTCGACAAGAAGATGGGTAAAATGCTTACTTTGACACACTTTGCTGCCGGCCATCAGGAATTGCGAACAAAACCACAGGCTTTGAGGGCCTAATAAAGGGCACATCACATCTGTAGTAGCCTTTCCTCTCTAGCTGCAATATCTCTCCTTGCCTTAAGTTGCGCATGTTGGAATCTCCGACTGCTGCGATCTCCTTTTTCGTACACGGGTTCAGTACATCTAGGAAATCCTCTCCTTCCTCGAGCTGCATTCACAAAAGATAAATATAAAACCCTAATATCCTTTGCACCGATTAAAAAAATTCAATCCGGATGAAGTAGACTCAGAGTAGTTTTGGGTTCAACTTGTAGAGCGTAATTGTCAACAAATAACAATGAAAGTGACAACCATCACATACAAGGGCAAACTTTTAGAAGTTAAATTAACCCACCATAGAAACACATCACTTTCCAGCACTTTCACCCGAGTCCAAGTAACATAGACGTAGTTATATATGCATGAGTGCAATGCATGCATAAACAATGACATCTACTGTATTTGGGATAGAAATGGAAGAGAAACTAGCATTACATTATTAGTATTTTTAAATCTGCAAGTTCATGGGAACAATTAATTATAGAAAAAAATGCAAGATTACACAAAAAATCTAGAATTAAGGTAATAGTAAGACAATACCTTTTTCTTTGTTATAAGATAATCAAACTCCACCAAGGAAAGGTTAACCAGTTCGCTTGATTCTGCTAGCCATGTGAGCTTCAACTTTGTTGTCTTGACAGATCCTTCAAGATGCAAAACCCCTACTAACTGGGTTATGTTTCCATCCTGATCCTTAAAGATTTCTTTCACAATAGCATTTCCCCAATCCATCAAGGTTACTTCCTCGTCCACAGATATGCACTCTGCATCAGCATAGTCTAACCATATTCTCTTTGTGAATGTAGTTGCCTTCTCTCCAGCACCTTCATATTTCTTATGCCTAGGGATAATGCGAACAAATGGCTTGTCAGGACCATTAGTCAAGGTCAATAACAATCGTCGTTCTTCAATGACTGCTGTATGCCGAGGACAAACAGGATCAATGATCTTCTTATTGATAGTCCAAAGTTTGTCCCATTCCATAAGATTAAGATTTTTTGATGCACCCTGGAACAAAAGGATGAAAATTCAATATTCTTTGGAAACAAAGCCCATATTCTAAAACAAAAATGACACTTCAATCAACATTCATTCACACGATGAGAATGACGCTATTAAGAGAAATAATGCAGATACTAAATAGTACAAGAAGATGAAGCAGGTGTATTAAAAGGCAGCTTAAGCTAGCATATAATAAGGAATAATCAATCACATAATATTATTTCAGTTCAAGAGATCAGCCATTCAAACTTACTTGTTCCACAATAAATTGAATCAAGGCATCGATTTTTAGACCTCGACGAACAATTCCTTGGACAGTTGGGAATCGAGGATCATCCCATCCGTCTACTTTACCATTTTGCACAAACCAGAGTAGCTTTCGCTTGCTGAGAAGAGTATAAACCATATTCAAGCGACTAAACTCATATATGATTACCTTTCTCATCCCCATATCCTCTTGAATCCTATAATACTGAGCATTGCGATCATGATACTCACTAGATCGGAGTGCATGGGTTATACCTTCTTCGGCATCGACAAATGGACAAGCAAAATCATAAGTTGGGTATATTTTGTATTTGGACCCAATTCGATGGTGGGGAACTGGATTGCAACGGTAGTACACTGGATCCCTCAGAGATTTATTTGGATCTTGCATGTCTAGCTTCCCACGAAGGCAGCATTGCAATCCCCTTTCAGAACCAGCAATTATTTCCTTCCACAACTTCAGATTCCCTCAATACTGTTGCTCCTACATTTTGATCAATACCATCCATCCTTTCTTTCTGCATTTGTTCACGTGGGGTATCATCCACATAGGCTTTCCCTTCATGTATCATCTTTTCAGCCATAGCCATTAACTTTGGAAAGTAATCTGAAGTATAGGTGATCTCTTGATACTTGATGCCCAATGTCTCGACATCTTTTATAAGATTTTCTACAAATTCATTGCTTTCTTTGGTGGGATTTGTATCATCAAATCGCAAGATTACTTCACCTTGATATCGTTGAGCAAAGTACTGATTTAATAAGGCTGCTTTAGAGTGCCCTATGTGAAGAAAACCACTTGGTTCAGGAGCAAATCTCAATCGCACCTTGCCCATCTCAGCATTAGGAAGATCTATTTCAGATGACGATCGGTTACCTGCTTTAGCCTTATCAGAATTATCTCCATTCACACTCTTTACCTCTTTTGATTTAGAACCCACTGGCATTCCCAACCCTTTTTTGCCAACATACAAAGAAGTAACTTCCTTCAAGGGTTCGCTGTATTCTGCAGAAATAGAATTGTACCAGCGAACAAGGTTTGGGTACTTGTTTGACTTCCTCATGCTTTCCCATCTTGGCCCAGTTCCTAAACAGTATCAAATATTTCTTAGGATGATCTTGAGCGGTATGAAGTTTTAGCATGACAGTATACAAGATTGATTTTTTTATGGGCTTGTAAGTTTAAGCCTCTTTCAAAAAGGAAAATGATTATATATATACGAGCAGCATACCTTTTCCGGTAGACGGTCAGGGAATTAATAGTGAAATAAGCTACAATGCATACATGATAACAGGAAAAGGTTGATTTAATGAAATATCATACTTAATATAACAATAATGATGAGCTTTGAAGTTTACCAGCAAGACCTGACCATATAGCTATGTCAGCAACGGAGAAATAATGAGAAACGAAAAAGGTACGTTTCTCCAAATATACCTCCATGTAACTGCAAGCATTCTCAAATTCTGAACCACATGAAATAATAGGAGCATACTCCAGCCACTCATCAATCTGAGAAAATGAATGGAAATATATTATTATAGGGAAGCGCCATAGAAACTCAAAAGAACACTGTTTCTTTCAATAAAACCTAAAAATTGCTGAAAGGGGGAATAAATGCAGCAAATCAAAGAAACATACTTGGGCAGCATGGAAGGCACTGTCACCGTATAAATTAGGAATAGGAGCCAGGCGACCAATGTAACGAAGAATTACATGATTTCCGTGCAACTTGAGCCTAATTATTGAACAGAAACAGAAAGGGTCAAAATCTAAAACAAATAACATAGACCCTAAACCCCAAGTACTAAATTCTTATATTGAAATGAAAACTAAGAAGGAAGCAAAGGGAAGTACCCGTTTGAGAAAAACAAAGTGGGAGATGAAACAGAGGAGGAAGTCTGAGTAGGTAAATCGATTCCCGCAATCTTAGCAGCGATGATGATGGAAAGTGGAGGATTATCAGGCGGAAATGATAACAGCTTCAACCCTGCTTCTTCCATATTCAAGGAATGACAATACCTGCAATTTATTTAAGAACAAAACGTTTTAGTTTTTGCAGAAAACATATGGAATGTATAATCGTAAAAACTGCGCTGCAAGTTGAGCAGTGGGATCTTAGAAAAGAAATTACCAGGTCAGATTATACTATTGGAAGAAGGAATTAAAAGATTCTCTACAAATTGAACGGAGGGAAAAGGGAGGTCCAGATCGCTGCCAAAAGACTGACTTGACCGACGGCTATACCAGCGGCAAAGTCGACAGAGAAGACGCACGAAACCGGTGGCGCCGAGTTTTTTTTATTTTGAGGGAGCGGCTGAAGAATATAGAAAAAACTAGGGGTGATAAAGAGAGAAGAAGATAATGGACATTAGGGTTTTTAAAATTGGGTCAAATTCTATCCCTGTACTATTTATAAATTATGTGTTTAGTACTTAGAATTTTATTTTGTCAGTATTTATCTCCATATTTTTAGAATTAAAAAAATTCAATCCTAACTCAAACAAAGAATAATAGAATTAAGAGTAAACTTCTGAAAAGATCACTTACCTTTTATATTTGTACACTTCTGTTTACTAAATTCATTAAAGTTAAATTTTGATCACTTATGTTATCTTTTTATTAAATTTTGGTCACTAAGACTTTGAATATCATTAATTTGATGACGTGATACGTAAGTAAAATTGTTTAGTTTTTATTTTAAATTTGAAATTTAGATAAAATACTAATTATGATCTTTTTGTAAAACAAAATAATTTAGGGATAAATTTTCAGATTACCTCCTTTTTAATATACTTTTCTTCAGAGCTTTCCCTACTTGCGCCACACACCTTAAGCTTCTTTTTGTTCATATTTTCTGTCGTCAATCACTTGAATTTGTCGGACATGAAATAAGATGCATGGTTTGGGAAGCTATTTTATTTCTTGATCTGGATTTTCATAGAAACTAAATTATAAATCCTTACATTATATAAAGGATGATATGAGGAAAAGGGATTTGTAATTCCCTTTACTTTCTTCACTCCTGCACGTCTCAAACCAGAGTTTAAAAGAGATGCCACTCTTTGGGAATATCAATATTGTTCTTTAGATGTTTCATGAGTAAAAGATCCACATGTATGTTTACCATTGTGGCAGTTTTGATCACTATTAATTTTATTATGGTATCTCTCATCATATATAAAGGAAACATTCTTTTTGCCTGATCGAGTAAAATGCAAAGTTAAGGGACTAAATAAAAAAAAGAGTATTTTATAGTGGTATAGGAGCAAGTGATTCAAATTTGGTAAAAAATAGACTTAAAATGAAAGATGAATTGAAGAAATAAAAAATTATGAAAAGTTGAGGGGTTAAATTGAAAAATGAAAAAAAATTGTTACAAAAAAGAGGAATCGAAAGCACGTTAGGAATTCTACGATGGTTTAGGAGCATGTAATTTAAATTTAGTAAAAAATAAACTTAAATGAAGGAGGAATTGAAGGAATAAGGAAATCAAGACTAAATTGCAAAATTGTTAAAATAGCCTGTCAATTTTTCAATTTTTTGAGTAACTTGAAATTTCAAAATTCTAACTCGACTCAAATTTTAAAACCGAATCAATAATTTGAGTTAATTCCAATAACTCAAACTGAAAAAAAAAGATTTTTCGAGTTTTACCAATGTCAAACACGTAACTCAAGCGAGAAACGTTAACAGATTTATTTATTTAATTTAATATAGTTTAATAAATAAATATATTTATTAATATTAAATACGTATATATTTTATAACATACAAATGGATATGTTCATTATTTATAATTTATTTGTATTTAATTTTGATTTTATCTTTAATTATATTTTTAAGTTGTCAAGTGTTTAATATGTGTTATCATTTTACCAATAGAAAATTAATTTATGACAAAAGCGTAAAGATTAACCACTAGATCAAGCGAATGATTATTATTATGTTAATAAATTATATTTAACTTGATGGAAAGAAAGGCTAACCATAATACAGAAATAAAAAGTAGTTATCATATTAACCGAAATCCAGATTCTATTAGGATTTATATCATCAAATCCATTTCCTGTTAGGACTGGACAAGTATATAATAATATTTATATAAATATTATTAAAAAGTATTTAATAATAATTATATAAAAATTAACCGAAATCCAGATCCTATTAGGATTTATATCATCAAATCCATTTCCTGTTAGGACAAGTATTACATATATATATATAAGTAATATTACGTGCATTAAGCATTCATCTGAAAACCTAAGAACAACGTTAGAGTTCTTTGTTACTGCGATTCAAAACCTAGAAGTGTAAGGCCAGCGATTAGGGAACCATCCATGGCTGATGAAACTAATATCTTCCTGGAGATCATGCAAAACGAGAGAGACGATCGTCGAAAGAAAATCAACAAGAGAAAACTTCAAAAGCATAGTGATCGACAGGAGATGCGGAACTCTGATGATCAAAACCAGGAGGAAGTTGAAGAAATCTGTTCTAAACCTAATATCGTGAAAGATTCTGATAGGTTTAAGAGGAGGAAGACGACGACGGAGGAAGATCCTGAGGCCATTGGATTACTTGTTGAGCAAGTAATGAGTCTAATGGAGGTTGCTGCCGAAGAAGACATTGAGCTCAACAGGCAAAACAAACCTGCTATTAAAAAGATCCAGATGCTGCCTCTTCTTACCTATTTTCTTTCTGAGAAACATCTTCAACAAGAGTTTTTGGATCATGGGATTTTGAGTTTGTTCAAGAATTGGCTCCAACCTCTTCCCGATGGAAGCTTACCAAACGCCACTCTTCGAGCTTCGATTTCGAATATCTACAAAATCATGTTCAAGAAATCATTGAAGAAGCAATCAGCAATGGAAGCGAGGGAGGCCAAGAAATCACGTTCAAGCAATCAGCAAGATATTGAGGCCATTGATCCTGAAGAGCCTACCGAGGAAGATATGAACACATTCTTCTCTAGCTTAGAGTCTAAGCTTTCGAGCTCTAAAATCGATGTTTCTCAAGAAGAAGCAAGGGAAGCACTGGCTAAATTAGACGAAGCCATGAATATGACCCCTGTTGAGTTTTACAATTCAGGGCAGTTTTCTCCACTTAAGAATGCATTCAAGATCCTTGCTGGTTTTAATAGTTCCTCTACCACGCTTACAATTGAGCAAAAAAACGAGTTGTTGGGCATGGAGGAAAGCTTGAAAGAACTAGCAGACCGAGCAGCGAAAGCGGTGGAGGACAAGAACAACCTTAGGGAGAAGGAGTCTATGAAGCAGACGATTTCTCATAACTTGGATAGTAATCTAGTCAAATATAAAGAGATGGGATCAGAGGTGAAACGGGTAGAGCAAATACTTGCTGCCTTCCATGAGCTAGTTGAAGAAGCAGAAAAGGAAAGGGAGAACATAGTAGCTGAACAAAAGGGGATATTCAGAAGTTCGAAGAAAATGAAAATGGAGTTGGAAGCATTGGAAGAGAAATGGGAAGAGTATGAGGCCAAAGCAAAGGTTGCTGAGAAGGAAGAGAAGACTGTTGAGGCTGAATGGGGAAGAATCAAATATTTCATCTCTTCTGTAAAGGAAAAGATGTGAGGAAATTGAATGGTATTGGTATTGTGAGCAAGACTTGTATTAGAAATCCATCAAGCATAGTTTAACTATTTTTCTCATATTGGTAATTTTTAATGGTTTTATTTTTTATATTTTTATAGTTGTTAAAAATATATTTTAATGATTTTATATAAAATAATATTTTCCGTAGTTTTTATAATTTTATTTTTGGATGATGATGTGGCAGAATCTCAAAATGCCTAATCACTTCATTTTAACATATTTACAAAAATATATAAAGGTGGAATATAGACAAGTCTAGGTACTTATGTGAAACCTTTATAAAAAAATATATCAATGCGAGAAATATAAATAAGTTGAAGTACCAATGTAAAACCAAACAATATTTAGGTATCGATATGAGAATAATAGATAAATTCAGGAGCTAAAACGTGACTTCTTCCTTTTCAATATTATTAGTAGATTTGAAATGATAACAAATGACATAATTTTTCTTATTTAATTATATAATTAATATCTCATGAAACTTTAATTAAATTACAATCTACAAAATGCTAAATATATGTAAATCCTTTAAACCTTAGAGAATTGCCTATGGAACTTAAATATTTCACTCATACACTTTCCTACGAGAGGTTATTTCCTATATCGTTTGTATCTTTGATTAATAGATTTTAAGATTCATTTTATGGATTTTAACTATTACCCCTATTGTTTATATGGCGTTGGGCCCTAAGCATACATTTAGTGTTGATGATGCTTATAGGTCATTGCTTTCATGTCGATGGAAAGTCAAAGATTCAGTGACAGATCTAAAAATATTTTTTAAATAATCACATATATATATTAACTATATAAATTTTTACAAGTAATACAAATAAAATTTCAAGATGAACAAAATCAATAACATAGTTAATTATCCGAAAAAATTAAATTCCAACATCTTGGATCCGCGGTTGCTAAAATCCCAAATGAAATCATGCATCACATATCCAAGTTCCTCATTTTATTTTCCTTTTCATTTGGACGACAATGTGAAACCGCCAAATGTTTATTTTGAAGTGCAATAGACATCATCTCTCCGGTGACCTATCTAGCTTATTGTGTGGTAATGTTCAAGAATCCATTCTGCATATTGTGCAACGAAATTTCATATTCTTGCATGCCAGAATGACTTTACCTTCAATGACTCTCTTGTCAATATGTTGATGAAATCTTACAACTCGGTCATGATTTAGTTCATGACCTTGTTCATAAAGATGCAATCATGTAATTGGCCCTCCACGTAAAAAGACATGATGTATATTAATTTTTAACTTATACCTCTTCCATAATATATATATATAAAGACGGGTAACGAAAATGTCCTTATTATAGAAATATTAGTAGAATAATATTCGGACGGAGCCAAAACTAAATATTGATAGGGGTCGAAATATTAGACTATTTAAGAAAAATATAAAGACTTATTAGATATTTAAACTCAAAATTTAGCACGAACTAAACGACCTTAGTGATTAAGGGATTGTTGTTATCCTTGAGGCCTCGAGTTCGAGCACTGCATGTAGAGGTATGAGCGTTCATTGTCAAATAGTTAAGAGACTTTGTACCCTAAATTTTGAGTTTAAATATTTTGAGAACACATGATTATCCTTCTTTAGTTTGGTCGTTACTTGATTAAATATTTAATAAATTCTTTAGTTTGCTCTATTAGCTCAGTTGGTAAACTCAATGTTCTTAACCTTGAGGTCGTGGGATCGAGTCTCATGGAGGGTATTTCATAATTCGGAGGTCTCCTACGAAGCTGCTATCAACCTAGTATTGGGGCAGCCTACTATCTTACCTCCCCCTTACCCCATTACATATGAGAACAAGGACAACCATTTTTTTATATTTTTTTAATTTAAATACTTATTTTTACATGAACTAAAATACTATTAACTAAAATTATATCGAATATACAAATTTTAACATAGATCGAGCCCCTAACTAAGCTCCGTCCTTGATAACATTGTTTAGGCACTGAATTTTAAGGATGTATTAATTTTGCCACTGAACTTTTAAATAATTTTTATTTTTGCATTATAGTTTTCGGTAGCCATGATGACTAATCACATGTTATCGGTCATCTTTTGCGGTATGATCGTTACTACTATGTTCATATTTCATTTCTCTTTTTTCTATTAGAATTTATTTTTCACAAACCAATTTCAGTAGAGAAGAAGTTGAGAAAGTTGAAAAACTCGAATAAGAAGACGGTTCGTATGCTTTTGTAAAGCTCCTTCATGATCAATGTAAACACAAACCAATTTCAGTAGTAATAAGAATATCAGATTTGTTGTTCGTATGCTTCCTTCTTTCAGATTTCCAGCTGCTTGTTCAAGTGCAGTTATGGCGTTTTCTTGCTTCTACAGGCACACAGCCATTGTCTTGGATTCAGGAGATCATCGTCTGCCACACTAGGAACGTGCCAACTACCGCTTTCCGATTCCTACATCGAAATTAACAAAATTTGTTTTTTAAGCAATAGATTCATTGCATCTTATAACATTAGATATTTGATCATACCCAAGGATTTAACCAATCTCTCACCTGAATAACAATGGAATACGGGGGAGGCATATTAAGCACAAGACCAGTCCTCGTCATAGATAACCGAACCTACAAAACATTAAAAAAATGAAAATTGATATTAGATTGTTGCTTAACATATAGGCAGTAAGATTTGAATTCATAACTGCCGAAAAGCGATTCTTAAGAGTGGCTACTACATGAACCAACTAGGCTAAACTTCGAATTTGTATATTCACGCATTTAATTTCAACAATCGATAAACGAGGAATGCATGGGGATAGACAAAATACCTGATGCTTCTCCTTCCATCTTGGAAAAAAAGAATTCCCCAGTAGCTGGAACAAGTGGTCCCTCATTTCGTCATTCGTTACTACTAAACACTTGCAACTAACAGCAGCGTATAGCCAATACCTACAAAAATAAGCATGCAATTGTCACCACCTCCAATAGTACAAGATTTTGTTTATTCGAGTTTTCAGCATTATATGTCGTCGTTTACAAGGAAAGTTATCAACACTAGATCCATAAGGGGTATAGAAAACATCTTTCCTAGTATATGTTGGTTGGTTCACTCCTAGTTAGATGCACGAAGCAGTAAGTTTCTGAAAAGAAAATACACATACAAAATAATGCAATATTAGTCAGAATATAACCAATAAATAGCTAATATGTAAATTCAGATTACTTTTATGGCTTCGACAAGGTGTGTTTTACTTAGAAAATCACATATCGTGTTTAAGAATATAGATACAAAAGAATAACTATGTTTATAATTATATAAAGACACTCTAAACCTATGGAACCAACTCAATTTACCCAAATCAAATGGAATAGATCTCAGCAGGTAAATGAGCTTACAATTTTACTTTTGCTTCAATCCCATCAGTAGATCTCAGCAGGTCTTCAATTGATGCTAATCGAAAACCCTAAAGTTTCTTTTTGCAAATGAACAATTTTCCCCCTTTCCATTTTCATTTACAAACAAATGGATGGATTAGCATTCAAACCAACAAATTTAACCAAATGATGCAATTCTTCAAAATTAACAAATTACTTAATTTGGTCCTTTCCAATTTGTTTCCATGAACTTAAGACTCATTATAAAAAGAAGGGCATCAAACTCCTTATAATGCTTATGCATTACATTAGAAGGCTTTATGTGTGTATTTTGGGAGCCACACACTAAACTTAAGTACCTAATAGCTGCCTCCAAGATATCACCCAAAAGATGATATGGCATATTATTCAATTAGCACAGCTACAGTTGTCACCTAAATTGATAGTTTATTGGTAGATAATTTGTGCATCTGATTACACAATGAATATCTATAAGGCTGAAATTGAAACTAAAGAAGAGCTGCAATTGTTTGCAATATCACCAGGCTAAGGGTCATAAATGAAGATACAGGATGAATATGATTAGAGAGAAATAGAGGTGGGAGGAGGAAAGATGGATGTTGCATGGAGAAGGGAGGGGCCATACAATTGCAGCTAGTGAATTCAACATTCAATTGCTTTGGTAAAGTGCATATTTTTCAAGGTAATTCTACATGAACATCATTGATCACCACCACCCTCCACAAAAAAATAATAAAAAATCAGATATTGAAATAGAAAAAAGAAGATGATCATTTGAGGGGAATATTTTGGGAGCATCTGCATCTAGAATATGAAACAAGAACTTACCAATCATCATTTGATCCATAAGGAGTAGCATAAAGTATCCCTGCCTTTTTCCACTGCTCTAACCATTTCCTGTTATTAGGATCTCTTGCAACCCGACTTTGATGCAAAATAACAAGTGGATACCTTTTTGATGGACTCATTTGTTGTAATTGATTGACAACTTTTTTAAGCTACAACCATAATAAGCATTGTTAAAAACAGCATAGATGTATATGTCTTGAATCAGTATCATCTGTAGAGAAGCAAAATCATTTAGCAGGATAAATAAGAACCTTTCGAGAGTACCTTTATTCTTTGTTATAAACACAAAATTTTCAGGGGAGAAAACAATTTGGACATTACCCTGATTGATAATTATCTATGATTAGGTTTAAAAGAATAGATGTGATTTAGTTTTGACTTGAATTAAGATAAAATAACAAAATGCTTCAACAGAGAAACGGGGATGATGACATGGAAATATTGTGTTGATGGAGCAGATGCTCAGCCAAATATTTGAGATAGATGATCTCAATCCATCACATGTCTTTGCTTAAAATATATCAAACCCCTTACCTGGTTTAAATTGAATTTTTCTGAGTTGATGAGAGCCACATTTGCACCATCTACAACTGCATCAAATGGTCCATACTGCTGCAACCACTCCTGGATCAGAGCACTTTCAAATCAGTTATGCTTTCATTGAAAACCGTTTAATGTAAATATGAAGCACTAGCCTAAAGCATACAGAAGTACATAATGGCCGTATACAACTTGGTAAACTTAAAAAAAAACACATTGCCAAGAATAAATTCATCTAACATATGAGCAAGTCATCTAAATCGAGAAAGAAGAAATATAAACAGATAAAGGATACAAATCCATTACGATTTTTTTGTATCATTTGAAAAGGAATATGGAATTCTCACTAATCACAACATCCAGAAATTCAAATATTTATTCCAAAAACTGATAAAAAAGAAAGTTGCATAAAAACCAGAGGAAAACAACTAATAAGTTATACTATATCTGGCAAGATGAGGATTAAAAACCCAAAGTGATGATATCTAAATGTTAATAGATTCACTCAAAACATTACAGAAACTGTCATGCCAAATTTTGAAACAATTCTAGTTTTCCAGTACAGAATAGATTATTGCAGCCGTAATTCATGTAAAAATGTAACATATAAAGCACTCAACCAGCTAGTAGCTACCATAGAAGAAAAGTGATGTAGCATGGAGAAGCGTAAGCAAGAGAAACAAGGAGATGGGAGACAAAAGGAAAAAGAAAAAGAAATAGACAGAGGAAAAGGTATGGAAGAGAGAGAGACTACGAGTTGGATGGGAACAGGGGTAAAAGGAGGAATGAACCAAGGAGAAAATCCCTATAATAAAATCTCTTAATTCAATTCATCATTCATTGTTTACATGAAACAACTGAAACAGGAGTAATATATAAGCTTCTCTAGCCTATAATCCCTATTGCTTGTTAAAGAAACATACTAAGTAGTACAAATAACCTAAAATTCCTTTCATTACATACATACATTCTTACCAACACACACATAAAAATCCAAAGAACACATCCAAAGGTTAGTATACTCTTTCAATTGGCATGTGATTGTTCTGCACCTCAACAGTGTTTAAGATTAACAAATAAGCACATTGTTCTCCAATAGTTTTTGAGTGCCAAAACTTAAAAGTTTAAATGAGGTCACAGGACAAGAAATCGTTGTATTTTCAATACTTGAAGACTTAGAACAACTAGCAATGGGAACTCCCAACTTCTCAAAGTTGTTATCTCAGAAATTAGGGAATGAGAAGGTTTAAAGATTTACCTGGAACCGAATGAAATCAGCTCTAACCTCTTTACTGCATGCCAATTCAGTTAATTTAGCAAGCAAAATTTTCTGTCTCTTTTGGATCAATATCAATACAAACAAGCTTCTCCCCACATGAACGACACACACCATTCTCAGTCATTGTAGTCCTCACCACCTTCCATCTCCCACTTCCAAGCCACCCCAGTCTATGCCACCCTCCTCCTCCTCCTACAACTGCTTCCTTTATCTGCTTCACATCCCATTTCTCTGCCCCAACATTTGCAGCATCCTCTGATTTAAACCAATCCTCAACAACTTGAAGGTCGATTCCGAGACCTGCCTCACTGTGGCTCGCAACCTATGCAACATCCCATACACCTTGCCAGTGTTCTTGGTTTCTATGCTAACTTTCAGAAGAGCCAAAAGCTCAGTCTCTTCAGTCATTACCCCTGATTCTAGCATATGAGCATCCACTTCATATGCTTTCTCTGCATTACCTTTCTCACAGAATCCAAGTAAAGCCGGCCCGTATGACCTTAGTCTTGGAATAATTCCAAGACCCTTCATCTGCTTCACCAATTCAAAAGCCATATCTGGGTCTTCCCTTGCTACTGCCAATCTCGCCATGCTTGTAAAAGTAGTCTCATTGGGAGAAACTTTATCTCCAACCATTTTCTGAAAAATCTCAAATCCCATCTTAATCCCTAATTCTCTCAACTCATTCAATGGACCCCCATCTCCATTCGCTTCACGAGCACACAAATAAAGCAGCATATTGTAATGATGCTGCGTCAGTTTAACTCCATTAATGTTGCTTTCATCATACAAACGAAGCGCTTCCTCAAGCTTACCATGCTTCGAGCACATATCAAGCTTAATTTTAAGTTGAAACTCAGGTGATTCCCTTTTTGCTTTCTTCCTTTCTTTGTTGGTCATTTCATTAGTACTACTATTAGAGGCATCCAAGCCTGATTTCTTTGCTGTAGCAACCGCAGATAAGTTTCTTGTTTTATCAACAGCAAAGAAATTTGCATTAACATTCGAAACACTAACCGATTTAGCAAATAAATTACAACGGCAAGTCCCATAGGAACGTAAAGTTCGACGGAAACTACTCCGATAAAGTAAAGAAAATGGGATTTTATTAAACATTGAGAATGAAGGGATAAAAGAGTTTACCCTTAGCATCACTCTCTGATTTCCTTTTGCTTCCAAAAGAAGACAAATTTATTGAAGTAGGAATGAATTGAATGACAAAGGAATTATTATAGCTGCGAACAGCATTGGGGTTTGGTGGTGTAAATGAATGCCAATGAACTGTTCGATGGAATGACTGAAAGAGCAAAACTTTATAATAACCCGCTATAGAGTGTTTTAGGGTCTGGGAGGAAGAAGGTAATGACAATGAGTCCGATCACTCCGATAGGCGGTTGGTGGCTGGCGACAGCGGCAGGAGGAAGTTAGGATCGGGTAGAGAGAGAGGCGACTGAAGGGTGATTTTAGGAGTAGGAGGAGGAGGAGAAGGAGGAAGAAAGAGATGAGCTTAGGATAAGCTTTTACAAGCCCATTCTCCGGCCATTGTCGCAGAAATATAATTGGTTGCATAGGTATACAAAACATAACGATAGTCAGTATTTAGTAGTATATCTTTTAGATTCGACATGTACTTTTCTAAGCTTCAATCATAAATTTAGTCCTTAATATAATTTTTGTCAAATTGGTTTTGTAAAATTTTATTCTCAATTATTTAAAATAAACTAAATTTAATAATCATTTTTTGGAATATGTTTAGATAGGTAAAAGTAATTGTAATAAAGTGTAATTATCGCCATCTTATATTTACAAAGCATTCTAATTCTTTGAATATATTTAGTTAATAATTTTTTATTAAATTATGGTGATTATAATGTAATATTTGTTTTAAATATTTTAAACTATTCGAAAATGAGCGTTCAAACACTTTTGTAGATGTTGATACTCGAATTCATGTCTTCTAGAAATAACAATAATATATTTAATATAAGATAATTTGATTCGTACCTAATTGATAAAATTTTGTGTTTTCTCTTTTTTTTTAAATTAATACGACATGGTAGTTGATAGTTGTCAACTCTCATTTTTTTTCTATTTTTCTTTTCTTTTTAGTATATTTTTCTCTATTTGACCCACTACTTTTTTTTTTGTTGTCCTCTTGGTTCCGAAGCTCGCACACCCGTCTTTAATTCGATCAAAGTTTATAGATGATTTGGCCACCGATAATCTTTATACATAAATATTTCATATATCTATGATTTAATTTAAATATCTGAATTTTCCTATTTAATAAATATCTCATTTTTTTTATAATGGAAGTGTTTATTTTATCTGAATTATTCCATTATATTTGAAGAACAAAGAAACAAGTAGACTCATCTTTCTCGGATCCTAACCGGCAACCCACCTTTCATCCTAAGAGTTGAAGACATCGTGTTGAGGAGACTTGTATTTCCCTTGTACGTTTATCACAAACATCTCCATCACAGCTGCGACTATCGATTTCATCTGAATATATGACATGTCTTTCCCTAAAACATCCTTGGTTCCCCATGGAATATGGGGAATTTAAATGGATTCTCTTGCTTGTACTTCCCATTTTCATCGACCCACCTTTCCGGTAAATATTCTTCGCAATTCTTGCCCCATATCGCCTCCATCCGCCTCATTGCATACGCATGGTATGTGAAAAACCAACCTTTCCCTATAAACGTGTCCGTCTGGAAGTATGTCGTCGGTTAGACAAGCTTTTGTGTCGATGGGAACCGGTAGGTACAATCTTAAACTCTCGGAAATTGATGCATGAAGATAGTGCATGTCACGTAGTTCGTCGAATGTGTATGTGTCGCCGATGGTTTTCCCATTTCGTGTTCGTCGTTAGTATGTTTCGCGTTGCGATAGTAGCCAAAGAACCAAGTCAAGGCTGAGGATGTGGTGTCTCGGCCTGCTAGGATGAAGCTTATGATGATATCCCAGAGAAACTGAGGCGAATTGTCATCGTTTTTGATGAATCTCGAGAGAATATCTTCGTCTTTGATTTCCTCTTTTGTTTGTAATCTTGTTTTTATGATGTTATCGGCGAATCCGTGGACGGTTTCGATCGATTTCTTCAAGTTTCGCTCCGATCCCACGTTGAAAATCCTGTTTATCTTCCATAAAAAGGGGAAAGCATACATGAATCTACCGAAACTAAGCATTGTAGCCTCTTCAAAGGCACGCATGAAATGAGAACCATTTCCATTGCGGCCAAGACAACCAGGGTCGACACTGAAAGCTAATTTGCATATGTTATCAAAGAGAATTGCTCCAAAATCTCTTGCAAATCCAATGTCACAAAGACAAACTTAAAATTAACTCGACATTCATGATCTACTTAAATAGAACATAAAATACCACGATCATCATCCGACAAGTACTTGATTCGTTTCCGAAGCCCGGTTTTGGACCGGAATCAATCTCGTTGAAATCTCGAGCCTAACACTATTCATTATGAAATTCTCAGCGATTTGAACTCGCAGGTAGATGCTTTCCTTTGAATTTCCCAAAGATCACCATCCGAGTTGAACATACATTGGCCGAACAGGTCCTTGAAAATCCCAGTGAACCGCTCCCCTTTTGGGTAGTTCTCGAAGTTGGTCTTGAGAGCATACTCTACGTTCAAAGGATTCGCAGTGATGACCCCATGGATCTTAACGGGACGGTGAAATACGGCGGTGTTAGTCGGACACCGTCAAAGGATTCCGTTCGTCCAATCAAGAAACGACCGATGCCGGTTTCACAAGAAATCGAGCAAGGCGCCGAGTATGGGGTAGATTTTTAACCCATGATTATTTCCATTATGTTTATGGTGTAAACAGAAGTAGTAACAATAAAGAATGATGAGAGAAAGTAGTAATGACTGAACTGAGAAAATGAGTTCCGTTTCCATGGCTAGAAGGTGGAATTCAGAAAAGCGAAAGAGATAAGATTTATGGATGGCGGAGAAAGTGGGGATTTATGAGAATTTTTTAACTGATACTTTATAGAATAATGAAGCTGTCTAATAATTGATGGCTTTGAAAATGGCTCTCCTGGTAAAACCTGGTTGAGAACAGCACATAATGTATAATCCATTTATATTTGTTTTCTAGCCTGTTTTAATAAGTTGTATTATAACATATCTTTATTTATTTTTTTAAATTTTTAATAACTTTGTTATTATTACATGTTTTATTTTGCTCTTATGATACATCAACGATCGTTTAGTTGTTGTTTTTGCTTATCTTTTTTTCGGGGTTAAATCTGATATCATCACGATCGGTCAATATGCATTTTATTTATTATCATGTTGATCTTTCTGTTTTAGATCTACGTGATTTACGTGTTTGAATAGTTTTTCACATTGCTCGATTCTGATTTATGATTTGTTGATAGTTTTTCAATAACTTAATCCCTTTTATAGTTCGTTTACCGATACAGTGAGATCTATTTGTATCTACTTTTTTTCAAGAATTTAATTGGTTAGGTTTTTTAACATTTTCCTTGTGTGATCTTAAATGGCTAGTTTTCTTGTGTTAATGATTATAGAAAAATGTTCTTATTATGTACTCTCTCTGTCCTACTAAATGTGTCTCTTTTGATTTTTTAAATTACTCCACTCAAAATATCTTATTATAAAAGTTAACAAACAACAACATTTTTTTTACCTTTGTATGTCTATTCTTTTACAAGAATCAAAATAAATCTATCAAATCACTTTTTAGGGATAATTTTACCATTTCATTTGATTAAATGTATCTTCTAAAACTATGTACATAGTTAATACAATACACAAATTATAAGACAGATGGAGTATTTAGTTTTCGTTATAATTGTAAAACTTCATAGTAATTAAGATATTGGTTGGGAGTGTTGCCCTCATCTCAACAGTGTTCAATCCGAATTAATTAATTAACATATCAAATATCACTAGTTATATAAAAAATAATTTTATTTTTACTTTTAATAAAATTAACGACTTATATATATATATATAACCTTTATAATCGAGAAAGTAAGGATCTAAGGTAATGGAAATTTTTTTTAAACATCGATAATGTATATATATTTTATAAATTATAATTATTTAAACTTAAAATCTTTTTATTATTGAGGTGGCTGGATGAGTACTCAATTTATTTATTTTTATTAGAAGGCAAAAGTGCCCAAATAATACTACTGTGAGTGTTTAATTTTCAAACTAACGTGTTTCCAATATTATTTCTCCATCTAACGTATTTTCTACTGTAATCACCTAAAGACCCCAAGATATCTCGGCGTCTTTGGGCTAAAATTTTTATACATAGATTACTCGGCGTCTTTAGTTAATATTTTTCTGATTTTTGAAAATTTTACCAAAAAATCACCTTTTCCTTAAATAATTACGTTTCAGACACCCTTTGAGATAATATTCTCGATCTAACACCCTTCGCAAAAGACGCGGCCCATGCACCGTGCCTTACGCTGATGTGGCACCACGTGGGTCGCGTCTTACTATCGTCTGACACACGCACCAGATAGGCGCGGTGCATGGGCCTCGCCTTGAATAATTATATCTGTATTTCTGGCTTTTAAACTTTTCTCTTGGCTATAAATACACTCTCAACCTGTAAACATTCACAGCAATCCTCTCAACTAGAAGAATGTCGTCACTTCAGTACAAATATCCAACATCATTGTTTCCGTTAACTTATACAGATTTCCATCCAAACGAAGCAACCGCTTTCCATTTTATAACAGCAAAAAAATAAAATAATTAAATAAAAAAATAATACAATAATTAAATAAAATACTAACAAAATATTAAATATAATAAAATATACCTTATAAATAAAATTTGAACGAGGTTTGGTTTTTAGAGGATTTGAGAGAATTTGAGAGAATTTGGTGTGGTGAAAATAGTTGAGAGTGGGGTATTTATAGGATGGGATGGATGGTGTGAACAGTCAGTTGGGTCGGTGGGATGGAAGGTGCATGGGTCGCGCCTTCAGTATTTATTCTGTCCCAACGTGGCCACACCTTATCTCACATGGTGCCACATCACGTAATACGTGGTGCATGGGTTGCCTTTCTGCAAAGGGTGTTAGATCGGAAATATTATCTCAAAGGGTGTCTGAAACGTAAATATTTAAGGAAAATGTGATTTTTTGATAAAATCTCCAAAAAAAAATGCATAGTAAGCAGAAAAAAATTAACGACGCCGAGTAATCAATGTATGAAAATTTTAGTCCAAAGACACCGAATATCCTGGAATCTTTAGGTGATTACTGTAGAAAATACGTTAAATGGGGAAATAAGGTTAGAAGCACGTTAGTTTGGGAATTAAACACTTTCTGTAGGGGCACTTTTGATGCAATAAAAGAATATATTTTCCCATAAGCAAATCAATTGAAGCCTCTTTTGTATTGCATAATAAAGTTGTAACCAATTGGGACGGAGATGTTCCAATATATATCTAAGAAACACAGTTTGGCCCATTTATATCTAAAAAACATATGGAATTAGGGCTTTAACCTCTTTAGGAAAATCTTCAAACTTGGAGATGTACCATCTCCTGGTGACATAACTCCTACACACCAAGTAAAAAGCAGAGCCTAGGGTTGCTGACAACGAGTACAATGTTTGAGAAATCAAACTGATTCCCAATAACCCTAAAATCTCAAACAGATAGTGTGGGCAAATCACCATCCCAAACAAACCACCTCTGGGGATCTTGTAACCTTTGCCACCCTCTTCTCTTAGCTTGGAAAGAAGGTAATGGTGGTAGAAATTGCCACTAATTCCTATTAGAAACAATGCAATTCCAGGGTTCTTCAAATCAATGGAGGGCTCTGGGAGTCCCAGGGTGAGAAGTTGGGTGTAAATGAGGCTAAAACTGAGAAAAAAATAGCTGACAGATATGATTATCATGGAGTCTATACCCATCTCTCCACTGTATTTGTGTATGAAAGCCACCTGCAATGTTTGTTCAACAAGTTGTAAATCTCAATACATTAAAGCATAACAGAAACAGGGAAGAATTCTCTTTAATCCGGATTCGAGCTTGTGTTATAGTGCGTAAAGTGACATAATTTTTTTAAACAAATATTTCCTTAATTAAACTACACATTTAGAACATTAATTATTATTTTTATTTCATTTTAATCACTCACATATATATTTTTTAAATTATACATAACATTTAATTTTAGTTTTATTTTGATCTTTTATTGTGAAAAAATTTATAGAAGAATAAAAAAATATCACCTCAATAATTTTATAAATTTTTTAACTGCAAGTAATTAAAATAAAATAAAATTATAATATTAGATATGATTTAAAAAAATATTTATACTACTACAAAAGAACAAAATTTATAATTAAAATATAAAACGTGTAGTTCTACCCTATAATCAACTTAGGCTATTAGGGGGGGACCTGAAAATATTACCTCAAAAACTCTCTTGAAGAAATGGATGGTAATGGCGGATTTGAGCAAAAGAAACCTCAAATCTCCATCTGGGAAAAGCCAAAAGGAAGCAACGCCGGCGAGGAAGGCCGGTGTGTAGAGGAAGAACATGCCAACCCTACTGGGAACTTTAGAACTAATTGAAGAAGCAGCAGCATTGGAGAACTTGGAATATTTCAAGTGTATCCCCCTTATCTCTAAAAACCCAAGAATTCCCAACGAGGTCAGAGCTAAAACAGATGCTGCAGTGATGGCCAACCTCGGTGGAAATAGAACACCAAGCACCATAGGAATCGCCATTGCCAAAACTGAGAGTAGAAGAAGATGAAGCTAAAAGATATAAGAAGTTGGACCGACGAATCGAGTGTGTATAGGGAAGCGCCGGAGGTAATCCATCACGCGTTAAGTAAACGCAACTCCATAAATGCTATTAACGTGGACCGATCCTCCAACTTCCCATTTGTATAATGATTGACTTCAAAACAAAAGATTTTTTTCTTCTAAATTTGGATATTTTACTCTAAAAGTCATTAAATTATTAGTTAGATCCTGTTTTAGTTACGAAACTAAATATTTTACCAATTAAGATATTCAATTTTTAATTTAGATCCAGTCAACCCATTGATTATTAATTGTTAACACAATTGTCGACCTTTATATAATATTGATCTTCATTATTTATATATTTTATTAATTTAATTTTAAAATCTTTCAATTAGATAATAATATGTATATAAATTTATTGAATTATTACTACAATAATTTCGGTCATCAATTAGATTGAAATTGAAATTTCAATGACCTAATTGACAGTTTTTTAATTTAATTATCGAAATAAAATCAAGTCAATAATTTAATCACCTTAAAATAATTCACTCAGAAGATTATCATTCTAGTATTTTTATTACCTATTATTGGCAATTTTATTAACTGTTGGTGGCTCTATTATAGTAGATATAATTTACTTTTCAAAGTTTTATTAAGTTCAACCGATATTTCTCGAATAAACAAGAAATTAAAAATGTTGTCACTTACAATAGAAACAACATATATATATATATATTCTCAACAAAATTGTCAGGTTATTTAGAAAATAAATTCTCTAAAATAAGATAAAACATTTTAATCGGTTTTTAAAGAAGAAAAACTAACTAGAATTCATTGCATACATAACAAAATTTGACCCTATACTCAATTTGATCAAGTTCAATCCTAATCTTTTCCAAAATTTAAAATTTTGATCACCATCTTGTAATAAACATAATTTCTAGATTTAATTCTCATCCAATTTAATCATTTTAAAGCCCCTGTAAATTAATAATATTATCCCATACTACTTGGATCAGGACTGGTTACAAATTTTAGAAAATACAGGGACCAAATTTACCAAATTAACTAAAATTGACCACGTATATATTACACGAAAGCTGGGAGGGTCCCCGTAAGCAGTTGACAATATCTTCTTACTCTTTGGGCATCTTTGCAAAAATCAATTCAAGAACTTGGTGAATAAATGAAAAACGATTTAAATCTCTTAACAGTCTATATTTTCTATACAATCCCTACTCACCAGCCCTCTGAAAGGAAAATTTCAACTGACAACAAATGCAAAATCAAAATCTCTGAGTACAAAATTACAACGCTACTTAACATGAAATGCTTATCTAAACTGCGTTGCCGACGGTTCCGAACTATTGGGAAAACATGCAGAGAATTTGTAGGTCGAAATCTTCCCATACCGCTGAATGGATCGCAAATGTTCCTGCAGTATTGAACAATGAGCCTCCTCCGCGCTTCTTCGCTTATTACACAAAGTTGGATGTAACGTCTAGCAACAGATTCCACCCAATACAATTGCTGCTCATCTGGTTTTCAATCTCTAATTGTAGATTTTTACTGGTTTCTCAAAAGCATGACGATTCTGTAAAATTTAATCAAGATGACGATAAAGCATCTTACGAATGAAATAAGTATTTCCTTTCTCATCAACCAACTTATGTGGTACGGACAGGCATCTAGAGTCGATAAAAACCCAAGTTTCCACTACTAAGAATGGGCTTAAATTAAGAATCTTTAGATTCCAAACAAATCTCAGTAGACTACTATTCATGCCACTATAATATAGTGATCATCGACATCATTCTAGAAACCAGTTATATTCGTATAAAGTGGCGGAGCAACATGGTGGCTCGGTTTAAAGTTCCAGAACTAAGAATAAATTGAGAAATATTATACCTGATTTGCTGCATATGACCGTTTAGGGGCATTGTCAGTGTGTTCCAGTCCAAGATACTGTTCCCAGGCACCATATACATCCCTTCTCTACAAAAACAAAGATCAATGAGGAAAAGAGTACATCCCAGGGAAAGTGACAAGTACAAAACTTAAAGGTGATAGAGATTGAAAGAACCTGAAAACGAGTAGACACAACATCAGAGTCCTGAAGATAATCGGGACGACTCAGTGACAGAAAAGCAAACTTCCACTGCAGGGGGAAAAAGCAAAACCATGAAGCAATTACTTGGAATGATGGGCAGAATTTGTATAACTGTTCAGTTTGCTTAAATCCATAAAAGAACACAAGGGGGAAAAGAAAAGAGAAAATAATACAGAAAACAGAAAAGCAATGCAATCTCGATAAACATGATAACTTGATTTCTTTGTCAGGTAGAGACATACCTTTGCAAATTCCTCATCCGGAACCTGTAATCTTTTCTGAATTCGCACTTTAACTTCGGCTAATGTTTCACCCTCGTGAATAACAAGGAAAAATGGCTCCCCAAAATTCTGAACTTGCTGTTAAGGTTGACAAAAAAGTTAATGAGCAAAACAAGTAAATCTTTATGTCGAGGTTTTTTAAACATTCATCAATACAAAATTAAATATTTTTGAAACAAAATTGGTCCACCCACGGGTGGGAACAGCATTCATGATATATCACCTGGTTTTGTGTTGTATCTTTCATAAAATGGTAAACATGAATCAAGCGATCATGAGGACCAAGGTTTTTCTCCTCTTCCGGTATCTAAGGCAATAAGAAATCAAGATCAGACACGAGTGAAAAAGATAACAGAAGAAAGAAACAGGAAAACAAGAAGCTCTGTAGTTTGAATACCCCATTGATACCAGACTAGTCAGAATAGTTGATTATTTTGGTCAGTGTTAAAAATAAAAAATTGACAGAGTATATAAATGAAAAAAGTATCCAAAGAACAAAAATGTCAAAAGCATAGACATAATTTTGCATCTCTCCACCGTTTTGCTGTTTATGACCAGGGTAGGCAATGAACAGCTAACAGACATATCAAGTGGGGATTCAGCGTTGTTATACTTGTTAAATGATTCAAGGCAGTGACATGGAAACTTAAAAAGGTTTAAGATTGGTAAACTGTATTGAGAAAACAAATCGGGACATGCTTGGAGAACAAAGAGCCTTACCTCCTCTGCACGTAATGTCCAATATTGATCATTTATGTTCTCTATCTTTTCACTGAGCGGGAAGATCTGCAAAACCAAAACCAGACAACAAAGTTAACAAAGCAATCATAATTTGTATGAATTCCTAAACAAACCTGTAGGAATTATAGAATTATATGAGCTGTTACCATCCCTTTAGTTAAGGGATTCTGTAAATATTCTTTCAATCCCTTATTTTAAGGGATCATATCTCCTAGGATTAGTATCTTTCCTAACTTAGAGTTTCCTAATTTAGAGACATAGTTTGTATATACAGATGAAATACGTCCTATTGAATTAATAAGAAAAATACAGAGACTTACTCTGATTTCTACATGGTATGTTTTTTTTTCAACCATACAGAAAAAGGTCAGATTCTGGAATTCTTGCATTTGTCTGCCAGGTATCTAACCAGTCATTGAACAACTCCAGCGAATGACCAGGACTTGATTTTGGTCATTGAATAGAAGCGACTGCCCCAGAGATGGACACGACTTATTTTAGGTTCCAAAGAAATAAGGATGGGTACAATTTTCAATTTTAGACAGAAATAGAAACTAAAATTCCTTAAATGCTCCGATTGGGAATTTGGATTTGGATTTTATTTGCAATGTATATGATAAAAAAATAAAATGCATACATTAGAGATAATAGTTATGATTCAATATAATATAGTAAAAACGTGGATTTATCAAATCCAAATTTACAGTTGGGATTTTAAAATCACAACTAAATAGGCTTCTTGCAAATCCATGGATTTGAGAAATAACAATGATTGTTGCATTTTTAAGTGTTTTATTACTCAATTTACTACCTTTAAAATCCAACTCCAAATTTTGAAATTCAAGTTCCCAAAAGCTACCAAAAATAATTTAGCAGAAGTATTGCTATAAGACACAAAATTTCAGGACAATTACAATTAAATAATTAGCGCAAGATAACTTTAAACAAGTATTTTAAAACACAGGTCCAAATCATAACTCAACATGCTCATGCAACCGAACACAGGAGCACCCACATTACAAATGGCAATTCAGCAGGTCAAGTCTTTTCAAATTAGACATTATGGTTATTCGGTTTTGGATCTTTGATTTCAGAGTCAGACAAATTTATGTTGAATCATTCTAGTTTACATTTCAGGTTCAAATTTGTGCGTTGCTGGCTGTCTTTTCCTGGTCAAACGGGTTGAGTGAGTTTTGGGGGGTTCGAGCCTACTATGTCAACTCTTCACATACACATGCTTGCACAGCCATTTTTATGCATAAAATCCAAGGGAGTGCACTATTATTAATAATTGCTTCAAGGAAAATTACTGAATACCTTGTAAATCTTGTGATAGAAAACCTCAAGTAATCTAAGTTCGGCACAAGGATGCGACAACTCCACCTGTACCACATCAAATGCAAAGCAATTTGTTGAATTCCGATCTTCAAGGAAAAATATGGAGATAATTCCCGCACACAAAGTTTAACTGGAACTTATTTCTCACATGAATACAGTTATACAAACAATTAAGCATGGATATGGATTAAGGAAAATATGATTTTGCAAACCAGAAAATGATATTATGTTTTCAATAAGCTAATTATACTGTCATGCATTTCACTTTATTATCTATAAACAGAAAACATTAATACCACAACAAAACAAATCTATTTTACAAAAGTTGCAGCAAAAAAAAATTTTGGCATTCTAATTTTTCTAGAAAACAATAACTTATGAGTACCAAAAAAGGTGTCATATAGGTGGGTGGGAGGGTAAATAACTTAAACTATTAAAGAAAAAGAAAATTCTCAATCCGAAAAGAAACTTAAAACTTCCACACCACTATGCTAGAAAATTTTCTTTCCTTTTATCTTCTCAATCTTCTTCCCACTATAAAAGGACATGCCTTAAAACTATTTGTAATTTCAATTGGAACAAACCAAG